AATAAAAAATAGCTAAAATAGTTTTATTAAATTTTGTTTCATTAATTACAGAAAACGAACATCATTAATATTATTTATACTTTAAATTTTTAAATATAAAAATATATTTATTTTTTAAAAAAACAAATTTGAACTTATAATAATTATATTATGATATTCAAATAAATAAATTAAGTTAAAAAAAAACAAATCTATATTAAGTAACTATAAACTATATAGAAACGTTGTCAGTAATATCAAATTGTGACATATATGATTCGTAATGAGATTTTACTGGCAACGCTCCCATATAGTATTTTATGTTTTAAATTAAAAATATTTTTTTTATTTAAATAACACTTGAAACTTTAATATTTCTAAAGATTATCGTTATTGGTTTTAAAACTAGTTAAATCAAATCAACTAAGACCTCCTTCAATGATTTATTGTATGATTAGATTGGCTAAAATCAAAAATAATAGAGCATTTAAATCAAAAAACCTGGAGCTAATAACCATCTTTTTTTTTCACAGAATTGCGCTGCTTGAGAGATGGCTTTTTTATTTATGTTGATTTTAATTTGCCGCTAATCTAACTATTCGACCACCGTGTGATTTTATTAACATATGGTTTTAACTCAAAATTGACATAAATAAGGTATAAACATTATTAGTTATACAAAGGGAGATAAACAAAATCCTATATACATATAAAATGTAAATTCTTTGTTACATTTACCAAATTTCAGGACAACGCCCCCTTGTTCGAGGTAAGGAATAAAATTAAAATCTCATCCGATTTATCAGCTAACTTAAATCGTTTAATATTAAGCATAATGCAACAATCCAACTTTAATTATGAATTAATTTTTTTTACGTATGAATTAAACATAAAATGACATAATTATAAGGAGTTTGTGCTTTTCTCATTCAAGCAGAATGAAGTTAGAACTCGCTTGTATAAAAATTAATTTCTCATAATATTTTATAGAAGGTTTCTGGAAAAAGAAACCTCTCAATCTTTTTTTTTTTTATTAGTTATTTATTGGTCAAAGCTGTACTTCCATTGGAACAATCTCCGAATTTTCGAACAGTCTTCATACATTGGAATAAGTAATTACGTCGTGTTATTCTGTAAACAATTCTAACATTAATGCATATTCGCGTTTAAAGTTAGCAATTCAAAGTTAATTTGCACGTATCGACTATTTATTATTATTATTCATCATCTCCTGTCATTTCGTTCCTTCATTTGATTAATAAACCTTGAAAATATATTTGCAAGTAACCGATTTGAAAGTTCCAAAGATTTTATGGTGAACAAAGATGACTGTAGAAGAAAACTTGGATTAAAAATATTTTTAATTACCTTACTTTCAGCTGATTTCAAAAATTGTCTAAGCTTAGAACAAATTTAATCTTGTGAACTCTTGGAATCCTTTTTTAAAAAATATTCAGAAGATTTTTCGTTTAATTTAAACCACATTTTCTCATACTGCGGAAGAAAATAACTTATGTATAAATTGAGAAGTTGAAAGCAGCGTAAAAAAAAGGTAAAAAATAAATAAATTAAAATTTTAATCGATATCATCAAACAGAAATTTAGGTGCCATTATAAGAATGTCAAGAACAGATAAGAAGAAATCGTGTACGTCGTGCAATTATCAATAATCAAGACACGTTAACGCGTATCTCGAACTTAATGCATCAGTCTTCAAGCGATCCATTGATAAACTCGTTTATCAATGGATTCAGTTTTTATCCTTTGACTTTGAATAGGTGATATATAATTATATATTGATGTTATATGACATTTCTTGTATTAAACTCAATTCCTTTTTTATTTTTTTTTAAGTAAATATCGCAATCAGGATATATGGAACGTTTGCTATTAAAATCACGTTACAGATCATTTGAATTACTATCAAACCTCCTATATATATTTTATTTATTTATTCATTTTCCGTAAAATGATTAATAGTCAATGTACAGTTTATTTTTGTGAGACTCCGCACGTCTCAAATAAAAAAGGGGAACTCACTATATATATAAAATCTAGTTTTTGATAATAATTATAATAATTAGAATAAATGTTATATTTCATGAACGACTAGTGTTTCGGGCGAAACTAGTTTCGCTAATTTGATCTGCAAAAATCTTTCCAAATTTAGGGTTTCGGAGGCTTCGGATAGTTTCGGATCATAGAAAAATTCTCTGGGCGAAACGTTTCGGATGTTGAAAAATAGTTTCGCCTGAAACACTATGAACGTCTAATTCAATATACTTATCATCCTTATCTTTGGGTATTTCTATTGTCTCCTTTTGAATTAATTTATTATAATTGAATGATTACTTCCCTTATTCTTGCATTAAACATTTCTAGATTGTAGATTTTAAAGCAGAGATTTTGGCTTTGTCCTAACAGTCGTCATAATTTAATTCTATACATCAAGAAGTTTTTAGTAATTTCTTGTAGTTTAAATTTATGATGATCGCAGAATTACCACAGAAAATATGGAATCATATTAATTATGAATGACGGTGTTAACCTGGAATATAACTGAAACTAAGTCAACTGACACAACAATAAATCGGGTATTACACAAACCTGTACAGTACAGTTAACAACTTATGTATTGTACGATTTTTTTCTTGAATGTATGTATGGTATGTAGGATTTAAAAACTATATATGTATGAGTTTTTCATAACAAGTAGTCCATACTTATATGGTTTCTAATACTATACATATATGAAAAAAACCATACCATACATACATTGCTAACCGTACTGTACAGGTTTGCTATATACCCCAATAAATCTAACTAATTGCCTTTCAGAAAGATTTATACAACAATTTATTATCACGATTCACTTATGTATTTTAGTATCACGATCAAAACCTGTGTGAAGACACGAAGAAGTTTAAAGTTTAAATATGGAATTTATTATAGAGTTAATAAGTATAAACCAAGACTAATATCCAAAAACTCTGTTGACAACCAATTTGAACTACAGGATTATTTATACAAAATTTTATTTTACACTTTTACTATTTAGTTAAATATAACGAATATAATAAATATAAAGACTGCGTTAATATAATAGATATAACTAGTAAAATAAAGATTTTCAATAAATTTGATGTATTTAACGTTAATATTTCGATATTTTGAATATTTTTCCGAGTACAATATTCACGTGATACTGGGCAAATTTCGAAACGAAATCCACCAAAACTGAAAGGTTTCGATTTTGGATTAATTATAATGACTATTTGATGACGTAAATCATGAGAACAATTCTGTTTTTTGTGATACGTCTCCCACCCATATTGGAAAAATTATACAACCTCATTTTCACTTTTATTCCAAAAATATTAATAAAAAAATAAAATTAAATGATTTGAAAGATTTGAAAGGAAAGGCTCATTTTTCAATGAGGTTTACGGAATTATTTTTAGGAATAATATAAATCATGACTCAAAGTTCATAGAGCTGTACAAATAGACTCCTTTCTACATATCCCCTTAACTCCATTATTTCTATTATTGCCTTTACTTTGAAAACTGTATTTTCTATTCCGTCTTCTTCTACAGTCTTCACTTCTTCTGTTCCCATTTCTGCAGCTGTAGCTTTAGTTATCCTTAGTGTTTGACATTTATCTAATTGACATATAGATGTAAAAGAGGAAACTACCATATTAATTAAATTTTACTTTATAAGCTAAAATATGATTTTATTTTAGCAAAATAAGGCATAAATGTTAGAAAATTAAAATTAAAAAATTTTTTATTAAATTTACACGTAGAAAGATTGATCGATTTTTAGTAATTAAGAATGATATTATTAGATTTCTAATATATTTGTGTGAAAATTCAATCAATTTAATATTTAAATTAAAATTTACCTTTATACATTACATATTTAATGAAAATGCTAACTTGTTTATCTGACCCTCTCTTGAATAGTAAACCCATTCGGACTCATAACAATGGTTTTTATCGTGCTTCTTTTCTTCTTTATGAAAATGTGATTTTAAATAACAAATTCTGTTCATTAATTTTTAATAACTTATATCACCGATGTAATAATACAATACTCTTTGATTGCTGTAGAGTACAATTATCTTGTGAAATGTTTTATGTTTAGACGTTATGAGAAATATTGATAGAATTCATTTATTTGATAAAAATTCTATATTTTAAATACAATTATAATTTAATTGTTCTAAAATTTACGGTTACGATTCGCTATCTCTTTATCTGCCTCTTCAAATACTTCTTTTATTTCTTTTCCATAATATTCATATTCATTAATATCTTTATAATTCTCATATTCAACAATAGAACCATACCAATAATTAAATATATTCATCAACTCAGGGCTTGATGGTCTTTGCTTTGTATTTGCATCCATACATCTATAAGCTAATTTCTTATTAAATGAAGTTCCTTTCCAAACTCTGGACGAAGTTCATAAATTAATTTTAATGAATGAATGAATGATCTATTTGTAAGGTGAACTTTCACTGCATGATTTTTTTTTTTTTTTTTGAGTTATGGGAATAATATGGTTCTTTTTACTTTTTTTTTTGCTTTCTTTTTAAAAAAAAAATATTTGATTCAATTGAATTAATTTAGTAAAAGAGATCCACAGAAAATAATTAAATAAACAAACAAATATATATTTCGCGACTGGCGATTTATTTTTTTATTTTTTTTTGTTAAGACCAAGTTGCTGCGCCATGAATTTATATTAACAAAAAAAAAATCATGCACATTTTTACATAAACATTTAAAATACGAGATGACCCTCTTTTCTTGAAAAGGAGTGATAAATAAAAAAAAAAGATGCGAGTGATGAATAATTGATCTAATTAAATTTTATAAACTCTCTCTCTTATTGCATTTTATAAATAATTAGCTCCAAGATCTATTTAAATTCGATAATTAACAAATATAAAACCGGTCGAAGATCGGTTTCAACCGGTTTTGTAAAACCTGATTTGAAAAGGGCCAAACCGATTGCACCCGTTTTAAATTCGGTTTTCAAAAATGCAACGGTTCCAAACTCTAGTAGTTCATTTGTATCTGTATTCTTTCATCCATATTATTTCGTTCAGTGTTATCATGAATCAAAATTGAGTTAACTGACGTTGAATCTTCTTGTACCTGAAAATCTCTTGATTCAGATTCTATTTCTGCCTCAGCTTTTTTTGTTTTTTTGTTTCTTAGAATTTTATTTTATTTTTTTTTGTTTTACTGCGTAGTTTCGTAATGTATTATGGCATATTTTATTTGGTTTATTTTTTGCTTTTAAATGCAAACGTTAGGTGTAAACAAATGCTCCATTTTGCTTTATTTATCTAATCAATAAGAAGAGATCCAAACCATATCCGGATATCTGCAGATATCTGCTAAAAAGCAGATAACGGATCTAGCCTAAAATTATAATTACCGCAGTACACGATCACGTTATCACATATGATTTATATCACGGAGAATATTTTCGGATGAACTAAATTTGGTCATGATAATTCCTTTTTTACAAAATTTATTTTTTTTTTAAAAAAAAATAAAAATAAAAATGTATACAAATAGCCATGAAAATGAAGCCCAATTCGACAAATTAATTGTTTCAAATAATAATTGTTCTTATTGCGATAAACCATTTTCCGAGAAATTATGGTGTAAAGAATGTGACCCTGGGTGTATGATTGAAGGATGGACTAGTGGAAATTCTGAAATTGATAAATTCATAAAAGAAACAATATATAAAGCAAACCATAAAGAATATCCAAAAATTCTTGAATGGGTGCCCTTTGATATATTTACAGATATAAAAGAAATTGGTGAAGGAGGATTTGCCAAAGTGTATTCTGCAACATGGATCGATGGTAAATCGAAATTTTATAAGCAAGATGACGGAAGTTTGAAGAAATCGGATCCTGAACCTATGAAGGTTGCTTTGAAAAGGTTAAATGGATCACGGGATATGTCAGCTAAATATTTTAGTGAGGTACATATATCACATTTATAATTGATATGAATTAACAAGAATATTCTTCTAATTTGCTCTTAAATTTTTATTACAAATACCTAGCTTAAAGCTCATTGGGATTTTTATCTAACATATTACGGTACATTAGAATTTTATGGGATAACTAAGGATCCAGAAACTAAAGATTTTATTATGATCGTACAATTTGCACCTGATGGAAATTTGAGAAGTTATCTTTCAAATAATTTTAAAAATAATTTATGGAAAGATAAAATTAATAATTTAAAAGATATAATGCATGATATTAATAATTTACATAATTTAGGATATTGTCATAAGGATTTTCATAGTGGAAATATTTTGCAAGATAATGGTTCTTATATTTCAGACTTTGGATTATGCGGACCAGCACATACGCAAAAATCGGGTGATAAAATATATGGAGTATTACCTTATATCGCTCCAGAAGTTTTGAACGGAGAATTATATACTTTAGCTTCAGATATATACAGTTTTGGTGTAATTATGACTGAATTATCATCCGGAAACCCTCCCTTTGATGACAGAAAACATGACGTATCTTTAGCCTTGGATATTTGTAATGGACTTCGTCCAGAATTTGGAAAAGGAATCCCTGCTTTTTACAAGAAATTGGCTTATAGATGTATGGATGCAAAACCAAATCAAAGACCAACAGCCAAAGAATTACTTGATACAATGGAATTTTGGCATGATTCTATTGACCCACTTGAGATGCATAAAGATAATAAAAAATATGGATATTATGGAAAAGAAATAAAGGAAGGATTTGAAGAGGCAGATGAAGAGATACCAAATATTTCAATTTCACGTAAATCGAATCCTGATGCTATATATACAAGTAGAGCATTTACATTTAATAATTTGACAAAACCTATTAATTCGTCTCTTATCACCTCATACCTTGAAAAGGATGAGAATAATGAAGGTAATATATA